CTGTGGGGGCGGTGAGGACGCTGTGGGGCACTAGGATGCTTTGGGGGTGGTGAGGACGCTGTGGGGGCGGTGAGGACGCTGTGGGGCACTAGGATGCTTTGGGGGCGGTGAGGACGCTGTGGGGGCGGTGAGGACGCTGTGGGGACGGTGAGGACGCTGTGGGGCACTAGGATGCTTTGGGGATGGTGAGGATGCTGTAGGCAGTGAGGACAGTCCCAGCAGTGGACCTAGTCATCTGAGCGTGTTCAGGGGATGGTTCTCATGCACAGCGCTGGCTGTGAAGACACCGTAGCATCTCAAGGATTGGGTGGGTTCTCCGATGCAGGGTGAGGACGCAGGACGCAGGCTGGCGTTGGCGTTGGCATCGTTCAGTTCACTAGGGGAGTGTTGAGGCAGGTGAGCAGGGTTGGTTCGGGTCTGTTGCTCCATCTGGGAATCCCGGGACCATCGGAATGAGAAGATGGCCTCTGTGTGATGGAACCATGGGCGGTGGGGGTTCATGAGTGGGCCTCGGGGGTTGCAGGGTCTGGAATCATTGTGTCCTGGAGTGACCCAGCCCCCCACCACCCCTGGCCCCACCAGCACCCCCAAACCCTGCTCGCGCCATGTCTCTTCATCCCACAGCAGCAGCCCCAGCCCCAGACCCAGGACCCCTTCTGCCAGTCTGCAGGGCTCACAGCCCATTCCTACCAGCCGAGAACCATCCCTGTCCCTGCCCACAGCCACTGCCTTCTCCAGGCCCCCAGGCTGTGCCACTAGGGGCCTGCACACACATTCCTTCTGCCTGGCACATGCTGCCCTCCATGCCACTGCTCCTTGCTCATCTCCTGTGTGTCTGGTGAGTCCTCCACTGGGCTGCCACTTCCCTTCGGAAGGCCTCACTGACTGCCCAGACCAGCAAGGAGCTTCTTAGAGTCCCCAGTTTCTGGCCACCTACTGCCCTTCCCAGACCCTGGGGCTGAGCAACCAGGTCTTCCAAATCCTCTTCGGGTGCCCAGGTCAGCACAGGGTGCCCAACTTAGGGGGTGACTGATGGCTTTCTCACTATTGGAGCCGGGGGTGCCAGGGACAGGGTCCCTCTGCCACTGTCCGTGCGGCCCCTACCTGGCTGGCCCTATGCACAATGGAGACTATTCTCCATGCATCCCAAGAGGCCCCAGATGAGGAGCCTCAGGTCCTGACCACCCGGCCCAGGAAAGCCCTCGGCCCCCAGTGGCCATCACTGACCACCACTGACCGGGTCGGGGAGGCTGCCACTGACACAAGCTTTGTCCTGTCCTTTGTGGGACAAGATAGATGGCCCTCCTGCAGGGCTGATGCTATCTCCAGGCTGCCAGTCAGACATGAGGCAGGAGCCACCCCCGCCTTTGTGAGCAGGTGCAGGGCATCCGGCCCATTGTGGGCTGCGGCTGACTGTGGTCGTCCATCCGGCCTTATCGCCACATCAAGGACAGTGGCCCTCTTTATACAAATGAACTGCCCCGCTTGCCCCCCCCGCAGCGGTGGTCTGGCACCTCCAGAGCTCCTAGTGGAGGTCAGAGGTAAGCATCATCATACACAGTGCGTGTGCAACACTCTCAACTCAGTCCAAGCAGGGCACGGGGAGGGGGTGTGCTCCCCACTTTCCATAAGAAACCGGATCCCAAAAGGGGGCTCTCTGCTGGGCCCCAGAGCTTTCTTTGTGTCTGTGCTAGAAGCAGAGCTGAGGCAGGCCCCCTGGGACCCCTATCTGCTTCACTGAGGCCTTTGGGGTGCAAATGCACAGCCCAGGAGAAAGTGATCTGGGGTCCACTAGGTGGACCACAGCCAAGAGGAGAATACTACTCTGGGCTGTGGGAAAAGGCCCCAGCAGGAGCTACGGGGAGTGGGCAGCCCACTGCCTACAAGCCTGCAGTCTCCTGGGCCAGTGTCTCGCTCAGGGAGTGGCGGGGGGCCCTGAACGGCAGTAGCTGCAGAGGCAGGGGGCCTCCTGTTGGGGAAAGCAGCTGTAATCACTGTGTGGTCAGACAGAAGGAAGAACTTTCCTTCCTGCTGGTTGACGGGGAGGCTGAACCCCATGGTTCCTCCATGACCCCTCCTCTTGCTGGCTCTCCGTGGTCTAGACTGGCTCGTGCCGAGGGACTGACCACGGGGGGCACCAGTCTGTGCTCACTGGCTGACCTCCCTTGGCTGCCTGGGAGCCCCCAGTCCCCACGCCTGATCCTGAGCTGACCCTTCACACACTGACCCTGGGGCCTCAGCCATCAAGGAGTATGAAGTGGACAGTCCCAGCTCAGCAGCCCTAAATGGCCCTGCGGGGACAGGGGAAATGCACACCCTCCCTGCGGACCTGGGCACCACCTCGACTCCAGCATTGTCCTTCATTTCAGAGATAACACATCTGCCCCAGGGCCCCTCCCCACTGATGAGCAGGGCCCCTCTATGACCTCAGACTCTTCCTTCTAGGCAGGAACAGGTTGGAGGGGTCTGCTCTCCAAGCCTTGCCTGGACCCCACACCCCCAGCTCCCAGGCCAGCTGATTCAGGCCTCATTACCCTGCAGCTCAAGGGCCCTCTCACCACCACTGCCCACCCAACCTCTCTGGGCTCCCAGGATCTCAGCCCTAGGTCAAGGCCCAGCCCTGGTCCACCCTCCCCTGGGGGCCAGGCTGTCTGTGCCTTTGCCCAGGCCCTTCCTGCTGTGGTTACTCCTCCATCTTAGAGGCCCCCTCCAAGCCCGTCCTCGCAGAGCTTCCTAGACCTGCCCTAGCCTGACACATGGTGCAGGACAGCGTTCAGGCCCGTGACCCCAAGGTCTACCTGGGGTTCAAGCAACATCTCAGGCCTGTACACAGCCAGCTAGTGAGTGAATAGTGACCGAGGCCCAGAACAACCCCAGGCAGGCACCAGAGGGCGCTCGCGGTCTGCAGAAAACGCTGGGTAAGGGGTGAGCGCAGAAAGAGGTGGGCGCTGTGGGTGCAGACAGCTGGGGTCCGCGGAGAAACGGAGGTCTGGAGTGGGGGCAGTGGGCTGTCCAGGCTGGCGGCGAGCGGCACCGAGTGGGACGGGGAGGCCACCCCTCGTAGGGGCAGGGAGGGGGTCGCCGCGTGGCCGCTGACAGACGGGGCGGGATGAGCGCGGCCCCGCCCCTCCCCTGGCTCCCTGACAGCCTGTCAACTGGGAAGATAAGGGACTTCTTCCGCCGGCATGGGGTGGGGGTCAACCCAGGTGCTCTGTCCCCGTCCCGCTGGTGTTTGCTCGGTAAACACTTATTGGGCCCCTGCTGCGCGCCCCGCGGCGGGGGAGGGGCCGGCAACCCTGAAAGCCTGGGCTCCACAGCCTCTGCCAGGGATGCTTGGCAGCGGGCAAGCAGTGGTGCAGGAAAAGAGGCTCTGTCACCACTGGATCCGCCTGGGGAGAGTTGCTTGTGGGGTCCTTCATGGATCCCCTCCAGCCTGGGGCGGCACTAGCCTCAGCTTCAGAGCTGGGCTGACCCCCATGAGCCGAGGCCTCACTGGGGCCCCCGTGGAGGAGGAGGTCCTGGGGAAGGTCTGGGGAGCTGAAGCCCCAGCCACGTGGGGGAGGACTGCACCCCCTGCCCAGACGGAGCAACAACATTGGAGTGGGTGGCGGGGCCCTGGGGGCCCATAGCTCAGCACAGTGTCTGCGCCCACCCCCTGTGTTTCCGATGGAAGACAGGCTGAAGGTGATAAATCACCGGGTCCCACCCCCACCCACCCCGCTAACGGGTGGGGAAGGGGGGCTGCATGTGACAGAGATGGGGATTGAGACAGAGATGGGGATTGAGACGGAGATGGGAGCCACGTCTAGAGAAGAGACAGAGACAGTGGCACTGTGGTGGTCCTGCTGACACGGGCCAGGGCCC